GCCATCTGGGTCACCTCCCTGGTCAGGGATCTAACTCATGCTGCAGTGGCTATGATAGCTTCATGGTGCTATACTTTAATTGGTTGCACCACCAGGGAGTGCCCTTATATAGCTTATTTTAATAATATAAAGCCTAGAGCTATGTTATGGGTGTAATTTTAATTTAAAACAGCAAATTTTAAGTAGAAAGTGAGCTGTAATAAGAGGTGGGCTGTCCAATAATCTATAAACGTGCTCTTCAAACTATGTTAATGGAACAGTTTATTTTTCTAACCAGTTGCAGACCTATGTAAGTTTTATAGTTTGTGACATATACAGCTTGTCACATGAAGTTAGCAGACATGAATAGATCAATACTGTCTGAAGACCTGACTGGCAATGATTGTGTAAGATCAGTCACAGATTGCCATCAGTTGCTTGCCTCTAGATAAGTTGCTTGCTTATTCTCATTTTTTATGTATCATCTCTTCATGGACCAGTAATAGTTTGTAGACTGCAATTGATCTATAGAGGCAAGCTATTGTAAGTGTTTTCTTAAGATATCAACATAATAAAAATGATAGTAAATGGTAGCATTAAGTGAGATGATGGTAATATTGAGAGTTCTCCAGTGCTGCAAGTATTAGATATGTTAAACAACTGCCAAATACTTACTGGTCTATAGAGTACATTTGAAGCTTTGAAAAAAGTTATTTCATAATTGTTAAATAACTATTTTTAACCAGTTAACTGAATCACTGTATATATTAAACTCTTTCCCATTTTACTCTTGATCTAAATATTTAAATATCAAAATTGGTTAACTTATCCTTTCTTTTCCTTTTTTTTAGCTATCAGTCCATGATGCCTTAATATTATCACAGCCAGTTTCTACACCTTTACCATTAAGGTAATTGATAATATCTAAAATGATGTGTTTATTCATTAGGAGCAGAAGCTTTATAACACTTTAAGGATTAGGGTAATAATGTTCAGTGTTTTTTTTTTTTTTGGCAATCAAGGTAAGAAGAATGTTATTGTTTTCAATTTTGATAGATGCATTGGAGGGACCATTTTAAAAATACAGCACTTTAAAAAGACATGCCTTTTTGTTACGAAAGGATGGATTTGAACCTTCACTGTCTCATAAAATTTGCTACTTTCTAGTGATAATGAGGACTTGATATTAACGCTAGGTTCTCAATCTATTAATATTTAAGAAATAACTTAATAAGCAAATTTTGGCTTGTTTTAGCAAAATAGTTCATAATCACTTTTTTTCCCTCTGTATTTCTAGTGGAGCCAATTTTAGCACCCTATTGATGAATCTGGGTCCTGAGAACTGTGCAACACTGCTGCTCTTTGTTTTACTTGAGAGTAAGATTCTACTGCATTCTCTTAGGCCAGCTGTGTTGACTGGAGTAGCCGAAGCTGTTGTAGCTGTAAGTGTAAAATTTTCCTTTTGGTAAAGAATTACTGGCAGAATCTTACTCTAAAGGGTAATTCTCTTCAAAGGAAGCAGCTTTGAAATTATCTGTAAAGTTTAACATTAATGTTATGGAGTGGCAAAAAGAAATAGCAGGCATAAAAAAAAAATAGTGACTTCTCTTTGAGAGAAAATGTTAGTGTCTCATTTTTCATATTTAGAGTTTTTCAGAGAATTTGTGTTATTACATTATAATAAAATATCAGTGAAGCTGATTAGATGTTTTAAAAAAACAATTTTAACTGCCCTAAAATTGTACAGTTAATAAACTTTCCCTATTTTAACTTGTAATCATTTTAAACCCGTAACATATAGGAAATTCTAAGTCATTATCAAATAGGCTAATGTACAAAAGTTTCGCTGTTGGTAAAAATATAACTAAAGGTTAAATTGAGTCCTTTCCTGTTTAAACATTTTAAATTTCTTCGCATTGCAATTAGAAAAAAATCTGATCATGCAGAGTCATTTTAGGTCATAGTGCCCAATTGGTTTCAATTTTTCTAACCCTATCTTACATTATTTGTTTAATTTAAAACAGCTGACTCTTCTGCCTTTCCATTCTCATTTTAAGAGCATATCTCTCACAGAAGGAAGGACTTTGTTTCTTTTTTTTACCATTATGTCCTCAGTACTTACAGCATGGAGGAGACACTCAATAATACATATCATATCAACAAAAGGAATATATTTCTCTGATCTTAACTTGATAAGAAATACTGCTAGGACTAAAAACAGTAATAATGATTTGGGATGGTTAGGGTGTGAGTGGGGAAATAAATTCACTACGGTTTTTCAAGCTTCTGCAGTTACATGTAAAAGCAAAAGTTGTTATAACATGAAAATATTTTGTTAATGAACTGATTAGTTTTAGCAAGTCCCACTCACATACTCCTTTCTATAAGATAGTAGTATTTACTGTGTCCCTTTTGTGAGATCTTTGTGGCCCCGTCTTTTGGTTTTAGTAATATAATGCAAGGACTGATGGGAAGATTGAAATTGGAAATCTTAAGAAAAATAATATGGTTGTACAAAGTTTATGTAACTGATGTTAGAGAACTACCTGAATTGTATGCAAAAGGATTATACATGAAGATTTGACAGGCAAGTTGCCATTTATAAAGAAGAGAAATTTAAAAAGAATGGGGACAGGTAAATTCTTCAAGAAGAGATTGATTTGAATATAAGAGATTAATAAGGCTTCATAACAAAATTGATGAATCTAGTGAATATTTTGGTAATATTCATGATTTCACTGTAGAAGCCAAAGGTGAAGATAGTATTGTCAGATAGTATTATTCTAAAATTATCACATAGTAGGTATAACTTAATGTTTTGTTGAATGAAAGGTTATTTTTTTTAAAAAGATTTATTATTTAAGCATATAAAACCGGGGTGTAGGCCAGAGATGCAGGGGTGGTGCAGGAAGATCGATGAATTACACTGCTGAGTAGAATAGTGGGCGGATCAGGAGAGGTCTGCCAGGCCATGTGGGTCAACTCTGGGGCTGGGAATTGAACGCATGCTGAAGCAGCTGTGGCTAGTTTGTAATGCTGCGCTTTAACCCACCAGGGAGGGCCAAAAGATTGTTTTTTGTTTTTTTTTTTTAAGATTTACTTATTTATGCTTATTGAACTGGGGTTACAGGCCAGGGGTGTGGTGGGTAAGAGGATTCACTAGAGACAGAGTGGGGAGCAGAATAGGCAGATTGATGGAGTACACTGCTGAGGGGAGCAGCAGGCAGGTCAGGAGAGGTCTGCCATGCCATGTGGGTCAGCTCCCTGGCTGGGAATTGAACTCATGCTGCAGTGGCTTCAGAGAGCCTCATAATGAGGTGGCTTAACCTGTTGCACCACCAGGGAGAGCCCGAAAGATTGTTTTTTTAAAACAGATTCATTATGCATACAAGAACTGGGGTACAGGCCAGAGGTTTAGGGGGTGAGAGGATTCACCAGAGACAGAGTTGGGAACAGAACAGGTAGATTGATTAAAATACACTGCTGAGGTGAGCCATGAGCAGGACAGGAGGTGTTAGGTATACCATGTGGGTTACCTTCGTGGCTGGGGATCAAACTTGTGCTGCAATGGCTGCCAGTAGCTTCATAGCACTGTGCTTTAACCTCTTGCACCACCACGGAGTGCCCTGAAAGAGTTTTTATTGAAAGAAATCTGAAATCTTTGTAAGGTCCTGTTCCTCTGCTCTCTGATCTGATTTTCTACTACTCACCATCTTCAACCATGCAGATCCTGGAGTATATTAGATACACCCCATACCTTAATACTTTTGCATTAGATGTTCTTTTGAAGTACTCTCCTATTCTATTCCCTGACTAAATCCCTTATCTCCTCCACATTTCAGCTCAGTAGTCACTTTGTTAGCAAGTCCTACCCTGTTTGAACTATTTATTTATCTATTTTTTAAAGATTTATTTAGTCTTACAGAACTGGTGTACAGGCCAGAGGTGCAGGGGCGGTGAGAGGATTCACCAGAGACAGGGTGGGGAGCAGAACAGACAGATATGCTGAAATATACTGCTGAAGGAAGCAGCGGGGGCTGGTCAGGAGAGGTATGCTATGCCATGTGGGTCAGCTCCCTAGCGGGGATCGAACTCATGCTGCAGTGGCTTCAGAGAGCCCCACAATGCAGTGCTTTAACCCTTTGCACCACTAGGGAGAGCCCTGTTTGAACTATTTAATAATCCAGTCTGTTTTCCTTCTCTTCTATTCTGGACTCTAATAACCCCCTTCATTTTATTTTACTTATTTTCCATAGTTCTTAGTACTTCTTCACACAATAAATATTTTGTTATATTTTTTATTCTCTTTTTTCTCTTTCTGCTAGACCAGGTTTTGGCAAAGTATGGCCTGTGACTCATATCCTGTTTTAAACCTGTTTTTATAAATAAAGTTTTGCTAGAACATGGGCTACTTATTCACGTATCGCCTATGAATGACAATACTAAATATTTGTGACAGGAACAATATGACTAGCAAGACCTAACACATTTCCTGTCTTACAGAAAAAGTTTGTTGACTTAGTATAGACTGTAAACATTATTATGAGGTCAGGGATTTTTGTTTTATTCACTCTTATGACCCCATCTTGCGGAACAGTGTTTGCACATTTTAAGTACTCAAATATTTGCCAAGTAAATGATTGAAAACAAATTGCAGTTATGAATAGCTAAAATGCATTAGTGCTATCGGTGTTTCTTTGGGGTGAGTAATGATGGATAAGGAGAGAACTGAAGTAGACCTTGAAAACCTTGAAAAGATGGCGTATTTTTGTAGTTTCCCAAAACTTTTATCATCAGTGATTACATTTTTATTGAAACTTTGTTTTTAAAAGACAGTTACAGTAGAGTTTTGTAAAGGAGAGCTGGTTAAAAAGATTATTAGGTAGTGTTTTATGTTAACTAGCGTTTGTAAGTTGCCAAGCCTCATTGAAGTTGGATCATTTTCTGTTTGATTAGTTAGGAAATTTTTTTGTTGAAATTTTCTGTTGATTGTTACCATCCTCCAAGAAAATCGTTAGGTTTTTTATTTTAGTCAATTGTATACTTACAGATTTTAGTTAAAGGTTATTTAAAAAATTAATAGATGGGTGATAAATGTGTAAGAGTTAAACAAAGGTCATGAGTTTGTTTTTTAATTTTTGAGCAGTTGTTACTATGATCTTTTCCATAAAGGGGAATGTAGGTTTTGTATAGGTAAAAAAGTTAACAAACATTTTGTGCGTGGTCATTTAAATGCGATTTAAGATTTTAATCACTGAGAATTCACCAGGGACAGAGTGGGGAGCAGAACAGGCAGATTGATGAAGTACACTGCTGAGGGGAGCAGCAGACAAGACAGGAGAGGTCTGCTGCATCATGTGGGTCACCTCCGGGGCTGGGGATAGAACCTGCACTGAAGCAGCCGTGACCAGCTTCACAGTGCTGTGCTCCAACACACTGTGCCACCAGGGAGGTCCCTCATGTGCTTATTACACATTATTTACAATAGCCAAAATATGAAAACAACCTAAATGCCCCCCAAAAGATGAATGGATCAAAAACTGGTGGTATGTTTATACAATGGAGTACTTACTCAACCACCAAAAAGGCAATCTTATACCATTTGTGGCAACATGGATGGAGCTGAAGGGATTATGCTAGCTGAAATTTGTCAGAAGGAAAAAGATAAATACCAGATTGTCTCAGGCATATGTGAAAGATAGAGAAACCAAAAGAAACATCAAGAAAAAGTCAAAACTAGTAAGCTAGCCATAGAACTGAGGCATACAGCAAAGGAAGGGGTGAGGGGGCTAAGGAGGGAAGGGAAGAGCACAAGGGAATAAGATAATGGTTCATGGCTGATAAGGTGGCAGGAGAACTATGGGGATGTAAGAAAAAATGTTAAGTAATAAAAAATTTTAAATAAGAAGAAAAAGATTTTAATCACATTGCTCTGGTTGATAATATTGCTTAGTAATGTTATAGTAATTTAGTTTTTGGACTGAAGTTTAAAGTAAAAGAAACTAGACTTAGCTGCTTAAAAAAAAGGTACCTTTAATTATAATTTTCATTGCAAATTTTAAATTTGGTTAATTTTTTAAAACTTTTTTCCTAGATGATCTTTCCATTTCAGTGGCAGTGCCCGTATATTCCCCTTTGTCCTCTCTCACTGGCTGCAGTGCTTAGTGCGCCTTTACCGTTTATAGTTGGAGTTGACTCAAGGTATTTTGATCTTCATGATCCACCACAAGATGTTGTTTGCATTGACTTGGATACAAACATGTTATATATGTAAGTTGATTTTTTAAATGTTATCTGCTGTTTATATTTGCCCTTTATGTAGTTATATTTTATTGAAAGCATCTAGTAATCAATATACTAATTTTGAGGTTGTTAGTTAGTCTTTTTCTTTGATATTATTAAATGATTCATAACCTGGGCAGGTATCAGAGTCTTGCAAAGCTGTAGATTTGGAAAAGAATATATTATAATAGTTTATGTTTATATAACTCAATGCTGGGCAGGAGATATTTTATTATAATAGAATATGGATTTGAAAATAGAAAGGTAAAATACTGCTTTTTAAAGCATAAAAGATATTTATTCTAGGTTTAATTCAAAATCCTTATGTTAACTTAAAAGAAAATGAGTTTCCCCCTTTGAATTTAGTCACATGCTACCTTGTTTGCCTTGTTATATATAGAGAGGTATAATAAAACAGTGTGATTAAACTTCATGAGAGTTTTAAGCTTAAGAGGGAAAGAAAGAAAGGGATAAGGGATGGTGGTAGGGAAAAAATGTATTAAAAAAAGAAGAAATAAAATCTAAAAAATTAGAATTTAAAGGAAATTTTAGAATTTAAAGGAAAAAGAGCTGGGAGACTATGAATATTTACTTGATAAAAATTGTTTTGACTATATTCGTCCCTTTACTTTTCCACATAAATTTTAATGACATCATTAAGTTCCCTGCCAGATGTTGTGATTTTGGTTAGGGTTCTAATGAGTTTACTGATTATTTTAAAATCAAATACATCTTTTTGAAATGAAAGTCTTCCTACCCATGCATGTGGTATTTTACTTCCTAGATCTTTTTAAAGTTTTTTTTTTAACTTCTGTAGTTTCTTACATAAAGACCATGCACAGTGTTTGAAAAATATATTTAGTCCTAAGTTCCTTTGGTTTTTATTACTTCCATGTATTTAAATGACATTTTCTACTTGGTAGTTGTTGGGGTATGTTAGTGTTAGTGATTTTCATGTAGTAGTCTGTTGTTCAGCAATTTAATTGGCTTAATTCTTTAATTTATCGGTAGATTGTCTTTAATTTGGTCTATAAACAGTCACATCATCCACAATCCTTAAATATATTTTTGATTTCTTAATTCCCTGACTAGAATCCTGGTATAATGTTGGATAGAGTAGCTATCATCGGTAAGAGGGAAAGTTTTGAGTAGTAACCAAGTATGACTTTTGCTTTAAGGCAAGAGTTAATATTGGCTTAAGGCTTGTTTTTGTAAATAACATTTTATTGAAACATAGCAATGCATATTTTTTTTATATGACCCAAGGATGCTTTTCATGCAAGCAGTAACCCATCTGAAGAGGTGCAGCAGAAGCACCTCTGAAAGCATAAGATACTTATTGTCTGACCCTTTATAGAAACTATGCTCACCCTACTGTAGGATTAAGGAACTTTAATAATAAATTAAGGAATGTTTTTCCTATTTCTTGATTAAAATAAATAAGTATTGAATTTTCTAATGCTTTTGTAAAACTATTGAGATTAACATTATTTTTACAAAATTAATTAAGTCAGCAATCATTACATTCCTGAAATGAATGTCATTTTGCTCTTACTTTTTTTTTTTTTTTTTTTTTAAGATAAATATGTATTGAATTTTCTAATGCTTTTGTAAAACTATTG